AAATATCAAAGTTAATATATATAAAGTTAAAAAAATTAAAAAATAATAATACAAATATTGTGTGTCATACAACATTTCGACTGGCGATGTCGATCCTTATCAATATATCTCGTATAGTGGCACCCGCCAACTTCGTCTCGGAGATTTTATGACGCCATCTAAAATATTTAAAAATAAAAATATTATAAAAAAATAATTAAATTTATGAAATTAAAAAAAGTTTAAATAAATGAAGTTAAACAATTACATTGCAGCCAGTGGAAACTCGACCGGGGCTGATGTAATTCGCGTAAAAAACAGGAAGCGATACCAAGCCCAGGACTGTAGCATTATCAGATAACCTGCTACATCAGTTTTTTGACTCGGTTTGACAATTGCATTCTTGCAAAGCTCCCGGTACAAAAATGCTAGAATCGTCGAGCCCCAACTGGTATTACGACACATAGCAAAGTCTTCCAAATATTGCAGATATTGTGTGTGCACCAAATTACCGGAGTTGTCCGGTAATAATATCCCTTCGATCACTTAGAGAAGAAATGCTTAGGACGTGAAAACTACTTCCGCTTCGGTAGACTCGTACATGACTTGGAATTCGAACTCCAACCAATTTTATCATTACCCGATAGCCCCTATTGACGTCGAATGGTGGTCATTTTCCCAAAACTTGGTAAATCAACGTCGTTGGGTCATAAATGTGGGGTCTCACCACGAGGGTTCCATTAACAGGAACATAAAGTTAGTAAGAAACGTCTTCCAAAGTAATCATCGCTTAACCACTCTGAAAAATGGGACATGTGCGTCTATGGCCACTAACGTTTGATCAGAGCCTTAATCAACATCGGGTACAACTTGAAGCCAAGTAAGAATATGGTCGGAAATAGACTGGATTGATGCATATATGTCGTCATCCGCCGATGCGGCTCTATGGTTGTCATTCCCCGACTACGAATATTCCATTCATCGACGTCCAGACCGCATTGGATCGACAAAACATGTGCGTTATCCAGGCGCAACATATATTATTGGGTTGTCATTTTTTGGGGATTTTCGCACAACGTATGATTTTTTTTAATTTCTCCGAATTCACGGTTTGGTAAAAACTAAAACCCTAAATCCCTATTTATAGTTTCACTCTCAACAGCTATAAACGAATAGAAACTTAAAATCCCCGACCGAACTCCTCACCTCGAGATGACGAGTTCCAAGTGATCGTTGATGCCCGTCTGCCCTTTGACCAACGGTTAGAAAACGACTAGTTTTTTTTAATTTTAACGAACTCGTCACCTCGATATGACGAGTTCGCTCTAATTTTTTAAAATTTATAAATTTTATTTTTAATTTTATTTTTAAAAAAATATATTTTTAATGGACTCGTCACCTCGGCATGACGAGTCTTTACAATGCCAATAAAATAATGGCTCACGTGTACGCGGAGACCAATTAAAAATAATATCCGAGAAAAGTCATCACATCGAAATGAGGAGTTCCGATTACACTGTAAAAAATATCGTATTCTCCAAAATAAGTTCTAGGTAGATCAATATCCCAAATAATTGATCCGCTTGGGGTATTGGGTAAAAAACTATTATCTGATCAGTATTGGGTCTGTTGGCTCATTTGGGCTCCTAAAATATTCCCTTTTTTTAGCTTGCCCTTTGATTAAATGGATTACTGTAACATCCCAAACTATGGGTTAGTGACTAAATGGTAAAGTTTCAGAAATTTGGTGATTAAAGTAGAAGAATGGATTAGTTTAATGATTTATCTGAAAATAAATCCTAAAAGTTGTTTGTAATTATTAAAGGATTTTAAGGGCAAAGTGGTCATTTGACTTGGAAAGGATAAGATAATGATATATATGGGATAAGATTGAGAGATTTCTCCAGAAACTCTATTTTCTTCTTCTTCTTCTTCCTCTCCTCCCGTATCTCCAAGCTCAAAGGTGAGTCTTCTACTTAGTTAATTATTTATTAAGTTTAAGATTGGGTTTTGATCATTAGATGATAACTAAGCTTAAAGAAAGCTTAAGTTATCTTAAGATCAAAAGATAAAGCAGATAGATAAGATTAAAGATTAGAGGTTCTTGAATGAAATATTGGAATAGAGTTCATAACAAGAATTGAAAGTTGGATTTGACTTGTTATCAATCTAAGAAAGAGATATGAAGTAATAGAATTGGATTTGAAACATGTTGCAAAATTGATGTAATTATTGAATTACATATGAAAGATAGGATTTTGAGGTTTAAGATGAAATAAATGAGTATAAATTTGTTTAAGGATGTGTACTAGAGTTAAGAATGAAAAAGGGGATTAAACATGAAGGATTTAATCCAAATGAATGAACTTTCGGGTTCAAAAAGAGGATTCTGGGCAGAGTGCACCGATGCACATTCATGTTGCATCGATGCATCAAGGTTAAAACCCAGAAATTGTTTGAATGTGCACCAATGCATTGGTAGTGCATCGATGCACTCTTTTAAAATAAAGACATCGAATGCAATTCATGCATCGATGCATAAGTAGTGCATCGATGCATCCCATTAATAATGAAACATCGAATGCAATTGGTGCATCGATGCATAAGGAGTGCATCGATGCATCCCAGTAATATTACTACATCGAATACCTTTTATGCACCGATGCATCAGTAGTGCATCGATGCATACCTTCATTAAAAGATGAAATTGACTTTTCTCTTAGTCTAAAGAGTGAACCATTAGAGTATATTAGTTAATACTGATAGATCCATGTGTGATTATGTAGATACTAAAAGTAAGCTTATTCCGGAACGATCAAAGGATTAGAATCGAATCAAAGCAAAGCTAAGGTAAATGCATACTATATGTATAGTATAATGGAATAAGACTTGTGATAAGTCTAATCCTTATGTTGATTTTTATAATACAATGATTGTGAACATGCATACATGATAATTATGGTGATATGATATGTGATATGAGAACATGATATGAATTAAGTGATATGAGCTACATGATCTACGTGAATGTATGAACTTGTGATACATGTGATATGATATGAAATATATAATTACACATACATGTGGTATGTGACAGAAGAGAAATAACAAGTGATATGAAAGGTATAAGAATAATGCCCATAGTATACAATATGAGAACTATAGGTGTAGTTGGCATGCCAAGAGTCGAGGGTTTACATATGTTTAAAGGCATATATGAACAGTTTACATATGTTTAAAGGCATATATGAACAGTTTACATATGTTTAAAGGCACATATGAACAGTTTACATATGTTTAAAGGCACATATAAACAATTTACATATGTTTAAAGGCACATATGAATAGTTTATATATGTTTAAAGGCACATATGAACAGTTTACATATGTTTAAAGGCACATATGAACAGTTTATATTGTGACCTCTGGATCGTGGTCCTACGGGACGAATACTGAACTAAGGTTCGGTGCCCCATGAGGGAATTGATACGAGCTGTGGTGACAACATTAGTGCACAACCTCAATGCACTCACATACCTGCATATTGAAATACCTGCACAATCTCAATAATACACATGGGCAATGCAATTGAAATACCAATTTAAAGTGAAAGTGATCCAAGAAGGTAAGTTTCGTATGTGCATTATATGATTATATATGTTATCGTGTGATAGATACATGCATCTTATGTCATGATCCAATGGTAAGTATGAACATTCATAAGTTTATTGTTGCATATTCATTTATTGCCTCACTAAGTCAATGACTTAGCGTGTGATTGTTTCACACGTAGGTTTCGAGAAGAGTAAAGAGTAATGCGGAGCAAGACAGGTCAGTTCTCCTTACCAAATGTCAGATCAGAAAATATATGTACTGTATATAGAGTGTAGTTGGCATGTAGTCTAAAGATATAAATTGTATGAACTCTGATATATTTTGTAAACATTTTGAATAAGTTAAATGTTATAAAAGTTTTTAAATTACTCACTATTTTATACGAATAAATGTTTGAAAAGTCAATGTGACACTTCGGACTCGTATCCGGGTCGGATACGGGTTGGGGGTGTTACAATTACACCCTCCCAAAAAAAACAAAAACTTTTTAGCATTAATAGAATGATAATATTTGGCACATGATTTTCATACATCACCGGTTAATCACAAGATATCATGTCTTGAATAAATATAAATCTAATGAAAGATTTAAAATATATTAGGAGTGAACTTAAATTTTTTTAATGTAAATTAAATCATGTTTTGAAATATCTCAAATAATGTTATATATCTCAAATATGTCATGTTTTGAAATATCATGTGATAAATAAAAGAAATTTTAAATTTATGGTGTGCTTCATATTATAATATGAAACGACTTGATATTTAAAACTAAATTTAATCATTTATTTGTTAGACAAATTATAATAGACATTGCCATATTAAAATGTTTCTTTGCGGATGTGTCTTGTAACTCCGAAGTATACCCTATGGTCATGCATGCCTCCAAAGTCTTCCAGAAACATTAATCTATAAGTATGTTTACTGTACTAAAATGAAAGAAGGGTATAACAAAAGTCAAACAAAAAACTTTCTTCCTTCTTCTTTTTTTTTTTTACATAGTACTATTTTGGGGTGTCCATGGGATAGATAGCTTGCATCCGGGGGTATTTCCTTCGTAGTGAATTTGACTTGCATAATTTAGCATCTCTTATTCCTATAAACCAAGTTGTTTGCGACAAAGCGGGAAAAGGAAATCCACTTTTCTTTAGATTTCAGACTTTTTTTGAATGGTAATCAGTGATTCACTCTCGGTTACCGACAGAAACCCCCCCCCCCCATCTCCATTTGAAAATATATTCTTCTGCCATGAATTTCATATCTGTCCCACTGAATATTGTTAACTTCTGATTTTAAATGCCTATATAAATAGTCAAATACACATCAGTTAACTGGCCAGTGGCGAAGTAGATGGATATATAGTAGCAACTTTACAGAATCGTATCATAAAGATTATAGATCATGCATCTTAATTTATTTTTTCAAGGACACACACCATTGATCTACTTTTGTTTTTCTCATTTTTTTATAATAATAAAACCAAATATTGGTATGAGCTAGCTTAAGGGGATGAATGATGCAAAGTAGGTACGTGGACTTCAGTTTCTATGGAGGACTGCTTTTAACCTAAAAGCTTCATCTCGACGGGTTTCTCCCCAAGTGGTCGAAGCGATGACACGCCCAAAAAGAAAGGAAACCAAAATCAATTCACCAGCTGGAAGAAAGATCGAATAAAGAGTGACATAAATCTGCTTTGCTTTTAAGTCAGGAATAAGTAAGCAGAAGAGTTAAGGAGAGACAACTTTGTCTTTCTTCTTTCCCGAAACAAAAGAAATAAAAAGCTACCACATTTCATCATCATCTTTTTCAAAGAATATCATAATGGGAACGGAGTTTTGATTTTCTACCAGTTTTTATTTGTCTTTTGGGTTTCCAGCTCTTTTTCCTACTTTCAAACACTCAGGGTGCAACGGGAATAGCTCCAGGGTTCTGTTTTCCCCCTCTTTACATGACGATCCGCTGTTTTCTTCCAAGTACTCAAATGACCAACTCTTGCACATCCTCTTATATGGACCATCCTCATCGGATCTTTCCATTATTTCGACCTATAAGATAATGCATGATTATTTGGTAAACGGTACACCTAATGTTTACAAGGGAAACTAAACCAGATACTCATACTACAATTAAACCAAGGGGATTACCCTAGTATCCAAAGTTATGCGAGCTGAGTTCCTGGTAGAATTGGTAAAGCCAAGGCTGCTACGCTTCAGCTTTTGCCTCTCCCGTGCTTTGTGGTTCTGAAACCAGTAGAAAACGTTCTTGCCTTCGATCTTCCCATACTTTCCTAGTTGCGCAGTGATTTGTTCTATTTGTTGTGCATTTGGAGTTCGTATCCCACCTCTATACAGCATCTCCAGAATCCCTATCTGTTCTTGCGTTGGATTCCACCTCGTACCTCCAGCATGTGTTTCCACCTACTTGATAAAGTTTTTGGTTCATAGAACTTTCCAAATATCGATATTCTTTACTTGATTAAGTTTCCATTAACAAATTAAACTCATAAATAACGTCACATCTTAAAAGAAAAAACACATCCTTCTCCTCTAATTGGAAATGAGAGAAAAAAAGGGAATCGTCGTACCATTTTCATAATTGTACATATATTTTTACCAACTCAGATGTAGGTCACTGACAAGGTGGTGTAGCCATAGATTGGCTAGGACAAATAAGGCAGTAAGACGGAAACCAAACTACCGCAAGGGATGTTAGTGCCACATACAGCCAAGTTGACAAAAGTGAAGTAAGACAAGATAGGATGAGAGTGAAGGTAGAGGAAATTAATCAACAAAGGAGGGTACCTGAGGAGAATGGCGCTTCTGGTCAGAGGGGACAAGCCTTCTGGGGCCACTTTCTGGTCTCTTGAGGTCTAAAGAGGATATGGTATCAGGGGAAGAGGCCTGGTGGTGGAGCTTGGGAGCGAGAGGGCGTAAGCGCTTACAGCCAAGGGAGAGAGATGGTTCGTGCTCCCCGAATCCACGTCCCAGCTGATGCACCTTCATGTTTCCCATGGCGAAGGAGTGAATGATGGAGAGAATGGTGAATTATATAGAATATTGAGAGGAATCCCAAAAGAAAAAAAAAATAAGAGTGGGAAATGATGTGGTGCTTTCAAGTGCAAACACCAAACGATGAGGAGAGGTTGACTTATGATTAACCTCATATTTAAAAAATACGAAAAGAAACAAAAAGGACTGGGAAGTGTTGAAATAGGGGAATAAAGGGCACACAACACAAAAGAGAAGGGTATAGAGAGTACGAGCGTGTGGGTTGGCCGCTCTTGCTTTTCGGTGGTCTATTGTTTTTTACTTCCCTCCTAAACTTTACTTTTCCTCATCAAAAGATTCCTCCAACCCCGAAACTTGAAAATGTAACTCTTTCACTTTGCAAGATACGAATATGGCGATACACAAAGAAAGAGAAGGGGGTGAAGGCCGTCCTCTTTCACAGCCATAGAATGTTGAAATTACCAAACCAACTAAATTAATCCTATACATCTATTTTTGTGTTCCACGAAAACAACCCTGCTTTGGGAACTGTTGCTCTCATTTTCCCAAATTCAATATTCTAATCTTCAAATACTTACAAACCCCACTTTTTAATATACATTCTTGGGCAAAATCTCTTGGGTCTAGTACCTGACATGCACCATGCAATTCTTAGTACGTTAAAGAAATCCAACTGCATATATAGCTTTATTACATATTAAAATACAACGTTAATTATGTTTCGTACATTAATTTCATTAAATTTTAATTATTTTTATGTGATTTATGAGTGCCCTTAATTTATCTGTTTAAACACCTTAAACAATGATTTTTTTAATATAAGGTGAGTATAATACAATATCCATTTAAAGATATTTTTTAACCATTTCATATTATTTATTATATTTTAATGATATAAATTAATCTCTCTATTTTTATAATATTGTTAATCGTCCAAATAATTAATTATTTTAATTAAAATATATTATTTGCGATAAACAGTACCTTTTAACTTGTAACTATAAATTTAAAACATAAATGATAAAATAAACCTATATATATTATAATCGACCAAGACCATTGAGAGAGGATAACTTTTGGCAGTAGTGATGGATCATGTTTTGCACGTATAACAAAACAGTGTGGTAAATAATAAATGCATGTTCCACTTCGTATGATGAGGTTTGAACAAAGAACTGAGTTTTTTTGACCAGCCACAAAGGAAAGTTTGGAGTGCAATCGATAGGGCTCAACACGTGTGACGCCAACTACAGTTTACACACCCATATGATATATCTAAAAATATTTTTTAAGATAAATATATATATTAATAATTAAAAAATTTCGTACAATATAGATATAAATAAAATTTTAAGATGAACATCTCTAGTAATAAATAAAATTTTAAGATGAATATTTTTAAAAAATAAATAACTAATATAAATAAATTCAAATTTCAGGTAGACACTGTTGGTAATGCTCAATCCCACATAGTATTGAAAATACTATTGGGAATGAGTATTTATGGTTTGGATTTCCCACTTCCTTGTTGAGTGAAAGAGAACAAGGGAGACTCTCGCGCACCGCCGCCGCCGTCTGTCTTGTCTCGGCTCGGCACGGCTCGGCTCGTGGTCGGCTCGTGGTCGTGGTAATACGTGTCTTCGACACGTCCACAAATGGAAAAATGTGAAAGATTTCAACTGATATTTATAGGCTGCTGAGGACTATTTAAATTCAAATGATAACAGCTGGTTTATGAGAGTTATAAGAAATTAAACAGCTTTTCCTAAATTAAATCAAAAAACGTTAAGATGTATCTGGACTGATTTCCAGCTTTGTACAGAGGAGACAAGCTGTTAATATCAGGAGTTATTTGATTTAATTCCAGGGGTTACATGATATAATTTCGGGAGTTATAATAGCTGAATAATGATGCAATGAACCTGAACTATTTCTGAGAGCTATATTCAACTTCTCAACTCAGTCTCAACATTCAGAATTCACTCTCCAAGTGTTTTCTAAATATTCTCTCTGTGTGCTTTCCGATAAGAAGAGCAATACCACCGGCAGTCCACTCCGATTTCGAGTGTACGGAATTCGGAGCGACCGTGTTAACCTCGGGGGACGGTCCGCCTACTGCAGCGATTACACACATCAGGGCGAATTCGTTTCTAAGGCAGTGGTTATACCACAACACGGTTTACGAATCTGTTCCTTTTAATTACTGTTTATATTTCCAGTCAGTGCTAACGGTGTAGTTTTGCATTCTATTTTACCAACAAATTAGAAACGAATTCTATATACTGCAATCATGTCAACACCTTTGAGCAAACTGATACCTGATCTTTCCAAGCTCGATGCACTTGATGGAAAGAATTATAGAAGGTGGTCCCAAAGAATCCTGATATTCTTCGAGCAACTTGATTTTGACTACGTGTTGCTCAAGCCACCACCTACTATGCCGTCAACCCCAGCTACCAGTAATTATGCTGATGCGGTCCTCAATGATGATGCCCTAGCAACTGCCACTGTTGCGCTCGCTACATACGAGAAAGACAACAAAATGGTGCGAGGACATCTGCTCAGTCACATGTCAAATAAATTATTTGATATGTTCCTTAGATAAAGGAGTGCCAAGGCAATATGGGATACTCTAAAAAAAAGTATGGTGTGGACGATGCTGGCATCAAGAAGTACGTTGTCAGAGAATGGCTCAAATTCCAGATGATTGATGACAAGCCGATAATGGATCAAGCCCCATGACTATGAGAACCTAGTTGCTGACATCATCGCCGAAGGGATGCAAATGTGCGAGGTGCTGCAAGCCAATGTTCTCATTGAGAAGCTCCCTAAGTCCTGGTCTGACTACCGCAACTCTATTAAGCGTAAGAAGAGAGAAATTTCGCTTGAAGAGCTCGTGGGCCATATGAAGATTGAAGAAGTCAACCGTTTAAAAGATAAGCTTACTAATTCTATGAGTAATTTATCTTTTAGAGCTAACTTGGTTGAGTCTAAATTTAAGAAGATCAAGAAACGTGGGAATCAAGACAATAAGACAAAACCTCAGAAGGCTACCAGCTTCAAGAAGTCAGGAAAGGCCAAACTTGAAGGAAAGGCGCTCAAATGCTATGTCTGCGGTTTACCCGGCCACAAAGCTTACCAATACCAACACCGCTCAGACTGCCAGAATAAAAACAAGCCACAGATGCACGTTGTAGAAGAAGATGATGAGATCATTGCTGCGGTGGTCTCAGAAGTTAATCTGGTGGAAAACAGTTTGGAATGGGTTGTTGACACTGGCGCTTCAAAGCATTTCTGCGCAAGGAATGAGTTTTTCACCGAATTCGAGGATGGGAACGTAGGTGAATGTGTGTACATGGGGAACTCTAGCAGCTCTGAAGTGCTAGGCAAAGATAAGGTTTTACTCAAGCTGACCTCTGGTAAAACTCTGGCTTTAAATAATGTTTTGTATGTACCTGCCTTGCGTAGAAATTTGATAAGTGGTGGGCTTCTGAATAAGGCAGGCATTAAGTTAGTTTTTGAGGCAGATAGACTTGTACTTTCCCAAAATGATGATTATATTGGGAAAGGGTTTTTAAACAATGGTTTATTTGTCATAGAAACTCAATATAATGAAAATAAAACTACAACTTCTGCTTATATTGTTGAATCCATTTATATGTGGCATGCTAGATTAGGACACGTGAATATTCATTCTTTAAAGAAATTAATAAATATGAATGTTCTGCCTAAACTAGACACAACTAGCTTTTAACAAATGTGAGATTTGTGTAGAAGCTAAGCATACTAGACCTCACTTTAAGACTGTTTCTAATAGAAATACTGAGTTGTTAGAACTTATTCATACTGATCTAGCATATTTTAGAAACACTGAAAGTAAAAGAGGAAAACACTACTACATAACTTTTGTAGATGATTATTCAAGATATACAAAAGTTTATCTCCTAAGGACTAAAGATGAAGTTGAAAACTTCTTTCTTATTTATAAGACAGAAGTTGAAAACCAATTAAATAGGAGAATCAAACGGGTTAGATCTGATAGAGGTGGTGAATATGGATCTAATTTCTTAAAAGATATTTGTGAAAAGAATGACATAATTCATGAAACTTCAGCCCCCTATTTTCCTCAACAGAATGGTGTAGCCGAAAGGAAAAATAGAACTTTAAAAGAGATGATGAATTCTTTATTAATAAGTTCAGGGTTATCTGATAACATATGGGGGAAGCCATTCTATCGTCAACTCATATCTTGAATCGAGTTCCTCATAAGAAATTAGATTCTACCCCATATGAATTGTGGAAAGGATACGCTCCTAATTTACAATACCTGAAAGTGTGGGGGTGTCTGGCTAAAGTGGGTTTGCCAGACTTTAAGAAGTCCACCAACGGACCGAAAACTGTTGATGCAGTGTTTATAGGGTATGCTACGAATAGTGCTGCATACAGATTCATGCTTTTACAAGATTATTCTATTTATGAATCAAGGGATGCTGTTTTCTTTGAAAATACTTTTCCTTTAAAGGAACCGAGAATAAATATTGAAACATAAATAAAATATATTCCATTAACTTCTTTTAGTAATCCCGCTAGGTCTTCTGAACAAATTGATTTTTGAGCCTAGAATAAGTAAAAGGTAAAGAGTAGAAACCTCTTTTGGACCAGACTTTATTACTTCCTTTATTTCTGAAATAAATGATTTAGACTCCATTTCGGATCCTATAGATCAAATTGTTTTGTTAGATGAGGATCCTAAAACTTTTGAAGAAGCTATAAGATCTATCGATCCTAGTTTTTGGAAAAGCGCTGTTAATGATGAACTAGAATCGATAATGTCTAATCATACTTGGGAATTAGTTGACTTGCCTAAGGGATTCAAACCAATCTCCAACAAATGGGTCTTCCGGAAGAAACTAAGGCCAGATGGTTCGATTCAGCGGTACAAGGCAAGGTTAGTTGTCAAAGGGTTCACTCAAAGGTTTGGTTTAGACTGCTTTGATACATACTCTCCCGTTACAAAAATCTCAATGATTCGTGAATTATTTGCACT